AAACGTATTGCAGGTAGCGCAGATGGCCACTGTCCATGTTCTTTCTCGACTAGAATGGCGAGTTGTATTTTTAACTCGCGATTCTTCCTCTCGACGGGGTTCGCCTCTGGATGATAAAGCGGGATGAGATTCTGCTTCACTCCTAGAACAAACATAGTCTGTTGCATAACGTCTGCAACGAACTGGACACCATTATCTGAAACAACCCGACGAGGCACACCATAACGTAAGAAGATTTCCTCAACAAATATTTTGGCACAAGCTTCGGATGTCGCTTCTACGAGTGGGAATATTTCCACCCACTTATTGGCCGTATCTTCAATGATAAGGATCCACCTCTCACCATTAGGTCCTTTTGTTAGTGGTCCGAAAAGATCGACGGCTATGATTTCAAATCGTTGTGCAGGTACGGGCGTTTGAATAAGTCCGGCTGGTTTACAGTTGGAGGGCTTATACCTTTGGCACTTAATGCAAGTTTTTAAATAATCTTCCACAAACCGTCTCATTCCAGGGAAATAAAATCTTTGCGAAATGCGTTGCAGTGTCTTCTCTACTCCACCGTGACCTGCAGTAGCAGCATCGTGATACTCTTTCATAACCTGTTCTCTTAACTTTTCAGGTATAACAAGCTGTAGTTCTTCTGTCTCCGGATCAGCATAACGGTAAAGTATTCCTTTTGATATATGATACCCTCTTTCTGTCCATCTTTTAATCGATACTTCTTCTTTTCCTTCCAGGTCCAAGACTATCTTCGCCACTTCAGGATCAGCAAGTTGGTCGTCACGGAGCGTAGCAGCATCCCAGCGCGGAATTTCCACTACAACGGTACACACTTCACAGATGTCACGAGCAACTTCGTCACATGGCGGTCGGCTGAGTGTATCTGCAATAAGGTTAGCCTTACCCGGAGTGTAATCTACTTTGAGGTCAAAGGATTGCAGCTTCATAGCCCAGCGGACCAGTCTACTCGTGGGCGACTTGAGAGTGAGCAGCCACTTGAGTGGCTGATGATCGCTAGCGACGTGCACCGGATGTCCATCAATATAACCGCGGAACTTCTCAACGGCCCAAACAACAGCGAGTGCCTCTCGCTCGGTTGTCGAGTAGTTTCGTTCGGCGTGAGTTAGAAGACGACTGGCGTACTCAATAGGACGCTTTTCGTGTTGAGACTCCCCCTGGAGTAGAACAGCCCCCAATGCATAATTGCTAGCGTCGGTCCTGAGAACAAAAGGAAGACTGTAGTCTGGCTGCGTAAGTATCGGAGCGGACGTAAGTAATTTCTTAAGTTCCGTGAACGCAGCGGCTTGGTTTTCCTCCCATATCCATGGCTGGGTCTTCTTTGTCAGCAATGTCAACGGCTGCGCGACTTTAGAAAAGTTCGGAACAAATTTCCTAAACCAAGAAGCAGTTTGTAGGAAACTTTTCAGGTGCTTCAAGTTACGTGGCTCCTTCATCTCCAAGATGGCAGCGACCTTGTCTGGATCTGGTGATACTCCCTCGGGTGTAATAACGTGCCCAAGATACTTGACACTGTCACGCGCAAACATGCACTTATCGCGATTACCGTGCAGGCAGAAAGTACGGAGACGTTCAAATACGGCACGAAGATCCCGAAGATGTTGTTCGTAGCTGGCTGAGATTATAATGAGGTCATCTATGTATCCTAGAATGGTAACGTCCTTGAGAGTTGCTCCCGACCGGAATCTATCGATGAGCCGCTGGAAGGTGGCTGGTGTGTTGCGTAAACCAAAAGGCATGCGCCTAAATCTATGCATTCCGAAGGGAGTCACGAACGCAGTTTTATCCTGATCCTCCATACGAACGGAAACCTGCCAGTAACCGGACCGCAGGTCCACAGTACTCATGTAACAACTCTTACCTGTGTACTGCAGCAAATCGTCGATAACAGGCAACGGATAAGCGTCACTCTTTGTAATAGCATTCAGTCTCCTATAATCTACGCAAAATCTATATGACCCATCCTTCTTAGGTACTAAAAGAGCTGGCGCCGCCCATGCAGACTCGCATTCCTCAATAATACCTTGTTGGATCATATGCTCCAATTGTTCTTGCATAACAGCTTTCTTGGCGGGCGTAAGTCGGTACGGAGGTACAGCAATAGGCACATGCTCCCCAGTCTCTATACAATGCTCCGCAAAAGGCGTAGGCCCTCCCCCTTCTCCAAAGATGTCTTCATATTCTTGGAGTAGCTCACTGAGTCTAATCTTCTCTGGTGGAGATAGCATGGAACCCTCATCTGGCCGCAAAACATTTGTGGCTGCACATCCAACTACGTCACCACATGACTCAAAACACAAGGGGTGAATGACCTCGGGGCGATCAGCTGTGAACCAGTAATTCTCAGGTAAGTTAAGGACTATACGGGCTTTACGCAAAAAATCAATGCCTAACAATGTTTCATTATTACTCGCGTCGGGGAAAATAACAAAAGTGGTAGGTATTAGCATACCTGCAAGTTGAACATTTACATCCACGAGCTTTACATTTACATCGCGAATTAAACCATCAGCAAGTTTAACTGTCAATAAATCCTCTCGAAAGGGATGCTGTTGCTGTTGAAGTAAAAAATAAAGAGTGCTACCAGCAACACAACATTTAGCACCGGTATCTATTAAACCCGTACCACGAAACCCATATACCTCAATATTTAATAGAGGTCGGCGCGTTGAGTCGTCATTCCGCATAAAACACAACGGTGAAAAGCAAAAATCCGCTCGCGATACATTTAAACATTGATTACATAAATTATCAGTTTTAACATTGCTACCTACATTAACATTGTCTCTCGGAGACACATTTATATTCTCTGACATATAGTAACAATCACACAACTTATTACTACAACATTGGGTACTATTATGAAAAGTGTCTCTCAGAGACAGTTTTGTATTCTTTGACCTCTGAGTGTGACATCTATCTAAACACAAATTTTCATTCTTTGACGCCTGACGACAGTCACACGATTTAAAGTTACCTACATTACAATTACTACTTAGACTATTATATTCAGAAAGAGAGTAAAATGTTTTAGACTTACAGTTGTCACAATTGGATCTAATGGTACCTTTGGTACCGCAACCGTAACACTTTAAATCACTTTTTTTCTTATCACAAGCACTTCTATCATGTCCTGATTTACGACAGTAGACACAAAATTTACCTCGTTTGGTAGAACTTACTACCGAAGCACTGGACGTAGAAGGTGCGAAGTCGGCACTATCCGGCTGCGGGGCCGGCGCCGTAGGGGCGGAACGCTGCGCTTCGGCGGGTGGACGCGCACCGGGCGGCGCGCGCGCTGCGTGCGGCGGTGCGCGCTGCTCGCGCACAGGCGTTTTGGCGCGCAATGCGCACGACTTATGGAATCGCGCGCTGACTGCGTAACAGTTGACGACGACTTCGACGACAGTTTATTTGCTTCACTTAACGCTTCTTCGACATTACGGGCTTTATATATAAGTTCTTCTATTGTAGTTACACTCTCTCTCGTAACTCTTTTCCTTATAGATCTGTTTAGTAACCCATATATAATGTCTAGCTGTACTCGTTCTTCTAATACATAAGGTAACGTAGTGAGAAGGGCGCGCAGGCGGGCCACGAACACTTCTGTGCGATCAGCATCTTGCTCGGACTTAAATATGTCACGGAACACTTTGTGTGGTGGTCGCGGCGTACCATACATAGCACGCAAGCGACTCATAGCTTCTTCCCACGAAGTTACTGAGGTTCGAATACCTCTAAACCACACGGCAGCATCTCCCTCTAGGAGCATCGGCAAGCCCTTTAGTGCTATAGTGTCAGGTATACTCATACACTCTTTATAAATTTCGATATTACCGATGAATGCCTCCAAGACCGCTGGGTCGGCGTCAGTGTCGCCGCGGAACCGGGCCGTGCATTTGGCGAAGTTACCCAATGTCGCAGGTGATGTGTGTGGTGAAGGTGGTGGCGAAACGAAACCAGCAGCGCTGCCTGACTGTGCTGCTAGGATAGCTGCTACGAGTTCACTATTGGACTCCGCTTGAACCTTTGCGAAAGCGGTCAATAGTGACGCGAACTGGTTCTCACTGGAGAAGGAAACGTCTGCCACTTCTTCACTGTCACTAATCTGACTTTTACGACGGGCATTATTACGCGGCATTGTCAACAATATGATTTATAAACAGTTTCACTATAAAACAATACGCACTACGCACTTGGTAACAGTTCACTTTTCAAAACCGCTGTAAGACAAAGACCTTATAGACACGAACATGTACGATAAGTATTTTGTCGACGTGAGTTCGTTACAAATAATCACTGTTATTGCCCGAGTTGGGAAGCCAATTGTTGGATCGTCATAAAAATAATTAAAATAAGTTGTAGGACTATTGCGCTGCGTGCGGTATTCAACGACCAACTGCCGCCGGCCTCCCGTTACCCAACCGCTACCGGGGTATCTGTTGCTTAGCAACGAGCCAACAGCGCGAGGCTACCGGCGGGTGCGCCGCTATATATATATATATCTACTTACGTAGTGTATTACACTTGTTAAATTTTCTTTTTTATATTCTTTTTGTTTGTTCTTCATCTGAATTTCAAATGGGGCGGTGGAATGGAGAAATTACTAATCAAAATGACTTAAAATTATTTTCTATGCAACCGGCTGCGCTATTATACCCATAGAACAGCTGACCTGTGGGGCTTATTTTAACTTGGATCACAGGAACGTGAAAATGGCTACAGGAGTTGATTTACTCATAGGAACCATGAGAATTAATAGAACAAATCATGAGATATTAGTCTTTAAGTATACCTATGCATGAGGATACCACGGCTGTCACATGACAACGTGATGTCTCTGATGTCTCATCATATATATGTAGACGATGGTTACCACTTTCCATCAGGTGGACTGCAGCTTGTATGCCATTCTAGTTACATAAAAACTAATATTAGTTTTTAATGTTTACAGAATATACTAATTTTAGTGTTATTTTTAGGCTACGTCAGGAGAACAGTTCGTTGCTATACCACGAGAAGAACCCATTCATCGCGGTGACGTAGGCTGCATAGGGTGCGGTTCTCATATAGATCCACAGGCAGCTGGCGTAAATGAATTAGCCGCTATAGGTGTGAAGCAGCTCGACAGACATGACCCTACTGTTAGGCACAGTCTTAACAGCGTTCTTGATGTGGAAAGACAAGTTCAGGTTAGTTATTGTATTACAAACACAACATTTTAAAAGTAATTTTAATAAATAATCTCAGGATATTTGTGCAAATTAGTATATTAAAGGACCTGGAAAATGCGTCAATATACAGTATAGTATTTTCTAGGTGGTGAATGGTGTTCGGTACATACTCACCGTTACTGTGAGCTACAACAACTGTACATCTGCGCCAGACGAGTCTTGTGATTTCGTAGTACCATGTAAGATTTCTATATTGGAAAAACCATGGATAAAATTACCTGATGGTTCTAAATATAGAGCAGTAGTCGCTAATAACTGTACAGATAAGTGGCTATTTGGTGATGATGGAGAAGTGATACTTGAAAGACCTGATGGAAATAAAGAAAACAATAATATTAATATTAATCAAAATACTGATAAAGTGGTAGATTCAGATAAGCCGACTCCTGATTATGACAAAAATACAAACACTGTATCTGCTGACGATATAGTTAAGGCTGTACATACAGACGTTTTACAATCAAAAATAGACCAAAGGATGTTATCTGCAGACGAATTAAATAAATTGGAGGAACAGATTATTCCCTATAATGAATTACAAATATCTACTGTACCTTATGATGTGATTACAGAAACATCTGAAATTTCCGATATTCATAAACAGCACGAGCTTGATCTGGAAAGTGGGAAACTCTATCGCGAAAGTCCACAAACAGATGTAAATTCACCTAAAACTTTAACTCAGGATAAGAAAAAAGCTATTGACGATTTAATAAATTTTTTCGAATTTGCAGGCATTAATGCTAATGCGGACAAAACAAAAAAAAAAATCTCAAGGATGAAGAGGAGCTATGATTATGATTTACAAGTTCTGTCTATGGCTCAGAATTATAAAAAAATTAAAGAGAATATACAAAATGCAAAATATATTTACACATTAGCACAAATTATGGTAGATTACTTAAACGAAATGGATATGACAGTAAAAAATCGTGTTTTAAAGGATGTTATTACCGCAGAAGAGGAAGTTGACCATAGTCAACATTTCTTTTATGTGCAAGCTCGTATAATTATACCATGTGAAAATGCCGAATGTGAGAATACTAGAACAAAAATTTGTAATGCTGTTGTTGATAGTTCGCAAGAATATAGCCCACATATACTAAACACTTTTTGTTACGATGAAAAGAAGATAATGACTAATCTTAATATTGTTCATGAGATTCCACTAAATGATCCATTACTCCAGAAAAAAGTGAATAGTGCTTTAAAAAAAATCGAATCTAAATCATCTTCCACAAATGCCATGAAAATAAGCAAAATCATATATGCTAATACTCAGAAGTCGCTTGGAACATTAACAAAATTCGGTGTATTACTTTCGTATACAAATTGCAACAAAATACTTCCTCTTATTAAAAGGTTTAATTGTTCTGTATTGGAATATTTAGGAACCAATGTATGTGATATTGACATTTTAGAGAGGCATTGGTTGAAGGAAAAAAAAATATCTTTCTTATGTACGGAGCGACCTGTCGATAAAAGTTACATTAATACGAAATTATCGAGTAACAATAAATATGCTGATGACCCGAATGTGCTTGATTTCGTCCAGGAAGCATTGCTGTATTTAGAAGGACAGTCTAATAGAAATAGTAAACAAACGGTTATTGAAATTAAATCAGTATCAACTAAACTTATTGCCGGTCTTTTAACAACTATAAATTTCGTAGTTGCATATACGAAATGCAATAAAGCATATAAAGATGATATTCATTCTTGTGAACTTTTAGAAAATGATTTCCCTAGACAATGTCAAGTACAGATATGGCACAGACCGTGGTTAGAAAATGGAAGAAAAATGAATGTATCTTGTGATAATGATCCTAATTATATAAATAATACTGAAATTTCAAAATCAAGAAATAAAAGGTCCTTGAACTTTGTTGGAGGAAAACACACACAAGATCTAGAAGATCCAGTATACATGTCATTAGCTGAAGAATCAATAAAAAAGTACTTACAAGTAATTAATACCACGCAACATTACAAAATTATTCAGATTCTGAAAGCATCTACTCAAATCGTATCAGGTATATCGACAGAGATTGATTTTAAGGCTTCCCCTACAAATTGTCAAATAGAATTAATTGCGGAAGAATCAAATCAGAATAGAAATTGCTTAGTAGATTTTGCTGATACTCTAAAATGTAATTCGAAAATATTAGAGCAATCATGGAACAAAATAAAAGATATTACTGTCTCATGTAAAGCTTTAAATGCTAACTCGAGGATTAAGCGACAAAAAGGTAGTCAGCGAGAAAAAGATCCCAATAATGCAGAATATAAATTACTAGCAGAAGAATCGTTGCAAAAATACATTGACATGTCGGGTGTCGTTCAACAACATAAAATTACAAAAATTGAGAAGGTAACAGTGCAAGTAGTTTCTGGCACTTTGACGCGTATAGATTTCACAGCATCTCCAACCTCGTGTCTTATAGAGAGTGTTTCTGTATCACCTTCTATTCAGTGTGACTTAAACAGTGAAGTTATAATAAATTGTCATTCAGAAATTTGGGAACAACCATGGTTGAACAAAAAAGACATAGACGTAACTTGTCAAGTTCCTAATCAGAATAGATCAAACAGACAAGCTTTAGCTGGTGGAATATCGGCAGCAGATCCAAATGATCCTCAATATAAAACGTTGGCTGAAGAATCTTTGCAAAAATATCTTCTTACTTCTGGAACTACTCAGCACCATAAACTGGTAAAAGTAGACAAAGTGTCTACGCAGGTCGTGTCTGGTTCTCTGACTAGAATTGACTTTACCATATCCCCGACCAATTGCCAGATGGATAACACTGGTAAACCAAGTTCTACTAATTGCGTTGTATTGAACTCTGCAGAGGGTATAAAATGTCATTCAGAAATCTGGGAACAATCTTGGTTGAAGAAAAAAGACATAGACGTAACATGTCAATTTCCTAATGAGAATAGATCGAAGAGACAAAGTTTACCTGGTGGAATATCGGAAGCAGATCCAAATGATCCTCGATATAAGACGTTGGCTGAAGAATCTTTGCAAAAATATCTTCTTACTTCTGGAACTACTCAGCACCATAAACTGGTAAAAGTAGACAAAGTGTCTACGCAGGTCGTGTCTGGTTCTCTGACTAGAATTGACTTTACCATATCCCCGACCAATTGCCAGTTGGATAACACTGGTAAACCAAGTTCTACTAATTGCATTATATTGAATTCTGCAGAAGGTATAAAATGTCATTCAGAAATTTGGGAACAATCATGGTTGAACAGAAAAGACATAGACGTAACTTGTCAAGTTCCTAATCAGAATAGATCAAGCAGACAAGCTTTAGCTGGTGGAATATCGGCAGCAGATCCAAATGATCCTCAATATAAAACGTTGGCTGAAGAATCTTTGCAAAAATATCTTCTTACTTCTGGAACTACTCAGCACCATAAACTGGTAAAAGTAGACAAAGTGTCTACGCAGGTCGTGTCTGGTTCTCTGACTAGAATTGACTTTACCATATCCCCGACCAATTGCCAGATGGATAACACTGGTAAACCAAGTTCTACTAATTGCGTTGTATTGAACTCTGCAGAGGGTATAAAATGTCATTCAGAAATCTGGGAACAATCTTGGTTGAAGAAAAAAGACATAGACGTAACATGTCAATTTCCTAATGAGAATAGATCGAAGAGACAAAGTTTAACTGGTGGAATATCGGAAGTAGATCCAAATGATCCTCGATATAAGACGTTGGCTGAAGAATCTTTGCAAAAATATCTTCTTACTTCTGGAACTACTCAGCACCATAAACTGGTAAAAGTAGACAAAGTGTCTACGCAGGTCGTGTCTGGTTCTCTGACTAGAATTGACTTTACCATATCCCCGACCAATTGCCAGTTGGATAACACTGGTAAACCAAGTTCTACTAATTGCATTGTATTGAATTCTGCAGAGGGTATAAAATGTCATTCAGAAATTTGGGAACAATCATGGTTGAACAAAAAAGACATAGACGTAACTTGTCAAGTTCCTAATCAGAATAGATCAAAGAGACAAGCTTTATTTGGTGGAATATCGGAAGCAGATCCAAATGATCCTCAATATAAAATGTTGGCTGAAGAATCTTTGCAAAAATATCTTCTTACTTCTGGAACTACTCAGCACCATAAACTGGTAAAAGTAGACAAAGTGTCTACGCAGGTCGTGTCTGGTTCTCTGACTAGAATTGACTTTACCATATCCCCGACCAATTGCCAGTTGGATAACACTGGTAAACCAAGTTCTACTAATTGCATTATATTGAATTCTGCAGAAGGTATAAAATGTCATTCAGAAATTTGGGAACAATCATGGTTGAACAAAAAAGACATAGACGTAACTTGTCAAGTTCCTAATCAGAATAGATCAAACAGACAAGCTTTAGCTGGTGGAATATCGGCAGCAGATCCAAATGATCCTCAATATAAAACGTTGGCTGAAGAATCTTTGCAAAAATATCTTCTTACTTCTGGAACTACTCAGCACCATAAACTGGTAAAAGTAGACAAAGTGTCTACGCAGGTCGTGTCTGGTTCTCTGACTAGAATTGACTTTACCATATCCCCGACCAATTGCCAGATGGATAACACTGGTAAACCAAGTTCTACTAATTGCGTTGTATTGAACTCTGCAGAGGGTATAAAATGTCATTCAGAAATCTGGGAACAATCTTGGTTGAAGAAAAAAGACATAGACGTAACATGTCAATTTCCTAATGAGAATAGATCGAAGAGACAAAGTTTACCTGGTGGAATATCGGAAGCAGATCCAAATGATCCTCGATATAAGACGTTGGCTGAAGAATCTTTGCAAAAATATCTTCTTACTTCTGGAACTACTCAGCACCATAAACTGGTAAAAGTAGACAAAGTGTCTACGCAGGTCGTGTCTGGTTCTCTGACTAGAATTGACTTTACCATATCCCCGACCAATTGCCAGTTGGATAACACTGGTAAACCAAGTTCTACTAATTGCATTGTATTGAATTCTGCAGAGGGTATAAAATGTCATTCAGAAATTTGGGAACAATCATGGTTGAACAAAAAAGACATAGACGTAACTTGTCAATTTCCTAATGAGAATAGATCGAAGAGACAAAGTTTACCTGGTGGAATATCGGAAGCAGATCCAAATGATCCTCGATACAAGACGTTGGCTGAAGAATCTTTGCAAAAATATCTTCTTACTTCTGGAACTACTCAGCACCATAAACTGGTAAAAGTAGACAAAGTGTCTACGCAGGTCGTGTCTGGTTCTCTGACTAGAATTGACTTTACCATATCCCCGACCAATTGCCAGTTGGATAACACTGGTAAACCAAGTTCTACTAATTGCGTTGTATTGAACTCTGCAGAGGGTATAAAATGTAAGTCAAAAATCTGGGAACAATCTTGGTTGAAGAAAAAAGACATAGACGTAACATGTCAATTTCCTAATGAGAATAGATCGAAGAGACAAAGTTTAACTGGTGGAATATCGGAAGCAGATCCAAATGATCCTCGATATAAGACGTTGGCTGAAGAATCTTTGCAAAAATATCTTCTTACTTCTGGAACTACTCAGCACCATAAACTGGTAAAAGTAGACAAAGTGTCTACGCAGGTCGTGTCTGGTTCTCTGACTAGAATTGACTTTACCATATCCCCGACCAATTGCCAGATGGATAACACTGGTAAACCAAGTTCTACTAATTGCGTTGTATTGAACTCTGCAGAGGGTATAAAATGTCATTCAGAAATCTGGGAACAATCTTGGTTGAAGAAAAAAGACATAGACGTAACATGTCAATTTCCTAATGAGAATAGATCGAAGAGACAAAGTTTACCTGGTGGAATATCGGAAGCAGATCCAAATGATCCTCGATATAAGACGTTGGCTGAAGAATCTTTGCAAAAATATCTTCTTACTTCTGGAACTACTCAGCACCATAAACTGGTAAAAGTAGACAAAGTGTCTACGCAGGTCGTGTCTGGTTCTCTGACTAGAATTGACTTTACCATATCCCCGACCAATTGCCAGTTGGATAACACTGGTAAACCAAGTTCTACTAATTGCGTTGTATTGAACTCTGCAGAGGGTATAAAATGTAAGTCAAAAATCTGGGAACAATCTTGGTTGAAGAAAAAAGACATAGACGTAACATGTCAATTTCCTAATGAGAATAGATCGAAGAGACAAAGTTTAACTGGTGGAATATCGGAAGCAGATCCAAATGATCCTCAATATAAAATGTTGGCTGAAGAATCTTTGCAAAAATATCTTCTTACTTCTGGAACTACTCAGCACCATAAACTGGTAAAAGTAGACAAAGTGTCTACGCAGGTCGTGTCTGGTTCTCTGACTAGAATTGACTTTACCATATCCCCGACCAATTGCCAGTTGGATAACACTGGTAAACCAAGTTCTACTAATTGCATTATATTGAATTCTGCAGAAGGTATAAAATGTCATTCAGAAATTTGGGAACAATCATGGTTGAACAAAAAAGACATAGACGTAACTTGTCAATTTCCTAATGAGAATAGATCGAAGAGACAAAGTTTACCTGGTGGAATATCGGAAGCAGATCCAAATGATCCTCGATACAAGACGTTGGCTGAAGAATCTTTGCAAAAATATCTTCTTACTTCTGGAACTACTCAGCACCATAAACTGGTAAAAGTAGACAAAGTGTCTACGCAGGTCGTGTCTGGTTCTCTGACTAGAATTGACTTTACCATATCCCCGACCAATTGCCAGATGGATAACACTGGTAAACCAAGTTCTACTAATTGCGTTGTATTGAACTCTGCAGAGGGTATAAAATGTCATTCAGAAATCTGGGAACAATCTTGGTTGAAGAAAAAAGACATAGACGTAACATGTCAATTTCCTAATGAGAATAGATCGAAGAGACAAAGTTTACCTGGTGGAATATCGGAAGCAGATCCAAATGATCCTCGATATAAGACGTTGGCTGAAGAATCTTTGCAAAAATATCTTCTTACTTCTGGAACTACTCAGCACCATAAACTGGTAAAAGTAGATAAAGTGTCTACGCAGGTCGTGTCTGGTTCTCTGACTAGAATTGACTTTACCATATCCCCGACCAATTGCCAGTTGGATAACACTGGTAAACCAAGTTCTACTAATTGCATTATATTGAATTCTGCAGAAGGTATAAAATGTCATTCAGAAATTTGGGAACAATCATGGTTGAACAAAAAAGACATAGACGTAACTTGTCAATTTCCTAATGAGAATAGATCGAAGAGACAAAGTTTACCTGGTGGAATATCGGAAGCAGATCCAAATGATCCTCGATACAAGACGTTGGCTGAAGAATCTTTGCAAAAATATCTTCTTACTTCTGGAACTACTCAGCACCATAAACTGGTAAAAGTAGACAAAGTGTCTACGCAGGTCGTGTCTGGTTCTCTGACTAGAATTGACTTTACCATATCCCCGACCAATTGCCAGTTGGATAACACTGGTAAACCAAGTTCTACTAATTGCATTGTATTGAATTCTGCAGAGGGTATAAAATGTCATTCAAAATCTGGGAACAATCTTGGTTGAAGAAAAAAGACATAGACGTAACATGTCAATTTCCTAATGAGAATAGATCGAAGAGACAAAGTTTACCTGGTGGAATATCGGAAGCAGATCCAAATGATCCTCGATATAAGACGTTGGCTGAAGAATCTTTGCAAAATAACACTATTCTTCATTATATTGAATTCTGCACTTCTTTGGAACATAACAAAAAAGACATCAACTTGTCACCATAAACTGGTAAAAGTAGACATAACGTTGGCTGAAGAATCTTTGCAAAAATATCTACGGAACTACTCAGCACCATAAACTGGTAAAAGTAGACAAAGTGTCTACGCAGGTGTGTCTGTTCTCTGACTAGAATTGACTTTACCATATCCCCGACCAATTGCCAGTTGGATAACACTGGTAAACCAAGTTCTACTAATTGCGTTGTATTGAACTCTGCAAGGGTATAAAATGTAAGTCAAAAATCTGGGAACAATCTTGGTTGAAGAAAAAAGACATAGACGTAACTTGTCAATTTCCTAATGAGAATAGATCGAAGAGACAAAGTTTACCTGGTGGAATATCGGAAGCAGATCCAAATGATCCTCGATATAAGACGTTGGCTGAAGAATCTTTGCAAAAATATCTTCTTACTTCTGGAACTACTCAGCACCATAAACTGGTAAAAGTAGACAAAGTGTCTACGCAGGTTGTGTCTGGTTCTCTGACTAGAATTGACTTTACCATATCCCCGACCAATTGCCAGTTGGATAACACTGGTAAACCAAGTTCTACTAATTGCGTTGTATTGAACTCTGCAGAGGGTATAAAATGTAAGTCAAAAATCTGGGAACAATCTTGGTTGAAGAAAAAAGACATAGACGTAACATGTCAATTTCCTAATGAGAATAGATCGAAGAGACAAAGTTTAACTGGTGGAATATCGGAAGCAGATCCAAATGATCCTCAATATAAAATGTTGGCTGAAGAATCTTTGCAAAAATATCTTCTTACTTCTGGAACTACTCAGCACCATAAACTGGTAAAAGTAGACAAAGTGTCTACGCAGGTCGTGTCTGGTTCTCTGACTAGAATTGACTTTACCATATCCCCGACCAATTGCCAGATGGATAACACTGGTAAACCAAGTTCTACTAATTGCGTTGTATTGAACTCTGCAGAGGGTATAAAATGTCATTCAGAAATCTGGGAACAATCTTGGTTGAAGAAAAAACACATAGACGTAACATGTCAATTTCCTAATGAGAATAGATCGAAGAGACAAAGTTTACCTGGTGGAATATCGGAAGCAGATCCAAATGATCCTCGATATAAGACGTTGGCTGAAGAATCTTTGCAAAAATATCTTCTTACTTCTGGAACTACTCAGCACCATAAACTGGTAAAAGTAGACAAAGTGTCTACGCAGGTCGTGTCTGGTTCTCTGACTAGAATTGACTTTACCATATCCCCGACCAATTGCCAGTTGGATAACACTGGTAAACCAAGTTCTAATAATTGCGTTATATTGAACTCTGCAGAGGGTATAAAATGTCATTCAGAAATTTGGGAACAATCATGGTTGAACAAAAAAGACATAGACGTAACTTGTCAATTTCCTAATGAGAATAGATCGAAGAGACAAAGTTTACCTGGTGGAATATCGGAAGCAGATCCAAATGATCCTCGATACAAGACGTTGGCTGAAGAATCTTTGCAAAAATATCTTCTTACTTCTGGAACTACTCAGCACCATAAACTGGTAAAAGTAGACAAAGTGTCTACGCAGGTCGTGTCTGGTTCTCTGACTAGAATTGACTTTACCATATCCCCGACCAATTGCCAGTTGGATAACACTGGTAAACCAAGTTCTACTAATTGCGTTGTATTGAACTCTGCAGAGGGTATAAAATGTAAGTCAAAAATCTGGGAACAATCTTGGTTGAAGAAAAAAGACATAGACGTAACATGTCAATTTCCTAATGAGAATAGATCGAAGAGACAAAGTTTAACTGGTGGAATATCGGAAGCAGATCCAAATGATCCTCAATATAAAATGTTGGCTGAAGAATCTTTGCAAAAATATCTTCTTACTTCTGGAACTACTCAGCACCATAAACTGGTAAAAGTAGACAAAGTGTCTACGCAGGTCGTGTCTGGTTCTCTGACTAGAATTGACTTTACCATATCCCCGACCAATTGCCAGTTGGATAACACTGGTAAACCAAGTTCTACTAATTGCATTGTATTGAATTCTGCAGAGGGTATAAAATGTCATTCAGAAATTTGGGAACAATCATGGTTGAACAAAAAAGACATAGACGTAACTTGTCAATTTCCTAATGAGAATAGATCGAAGAGACAAAGTTTACCTGGTGGAATATCGGAAGCAGATCCAAATGATCCTCGATACAAGACGTTGGCTGAAGAATCTTTGCAAAAATATCTTCTTACTTCTGGAACTACTCAGCACCATAAACTGGTAAAAGTAGACAAAGTGTCTACGCAGGTCGTGTCTGGTTCTCTGACTAGAATTGACTTTACCATATCCCCGACCAATTGCCAGTTGGATAACACTGGTAAACCAAGTTCTACTAATTGCGTTGTATTGAACTCTGCAGAGGGTATAAAATGTAAGTCAAAAATCTGGGAACAATCTTGGTTGAAGAAAAAAGACATAGACGTAACATGTCAATTTCCTAATGAGAATAGATCGAAGAGACAAAGTTTAACTGGTGGAATATCGGAAGCAGATCCAAATGATCCTCAATATAAAATGTTGGCTGAAGAATCTTTGCAAAAATATCTTCTTACTTCTGGAACTACTCAGCACCATAAACTGGTAAAAGTAGACAAAGTGTCTACGCAGGTCGTGTCTGGTTCTCTGACTAGAATTGACTTTACCATATCCCCGACCAATTGCCAGTTGGATAACACTGGTAAACCAAGTTCTACTAATTGCATTATATTGAATTCTGCAGAAGGTATAAAATGTCATTCAGAAATTTGGGAACAATCATGGTTGAACAAAAAAGACATAGACGTAACTTGTCAATTTCCTAATGAGAATAGATCGAAGAGACAAAGTTTACCTGGTGGAATATCGGAAGCAGATCCAAATGATCCTCGATACAAGACGTTGGCTGAAGAATCTTTGCAAAAATATCTTCTTACTTCTGGAACTACTCAGCACCATAAACTGGTAAAAGTAGACAAAGTGTCTACGCAGGTCGTGTCTGGTTCTCTGACTAGAATTGACTTTACCATATCCCCGACCAATTGCCAGTTGGATAACACTGGTAAACCAAGTTCTACTAATTGCGTTGTATTGAACTCTGCAGAGGGTATAAAATGTAAGTCAAAAATCTGGGAACAATCTTGGTTGAAGAAAAAAGACATAGACGTAACTTGTCAATTTCCTAATGAGAATAGATCGAAGAGACAAAGTTTACCTGGTGGAATATCGGAAGCAGATCCAAATGATCCTCGATATAAGACGTTGGCTGAAGAATCTTTGCAAAAATATCTTCTTACTTCTGGAACTACTCAGCACCATAAACTGGTAAAAGTAGACAAAGTGTCTACGCAGGTTGTGTCTGGTTCTCTGACTAGAATTGACTTTACCATATCCCCGACCAATTGCCAGTTGGATAACACTGGTAAACCAAGTTCTACTAATTGCATTGTATTGAATTCTGCAGAGGGTATAAAATGTCATTCAGAAATCTGGGAACAATCTTGGTTGAAGAAAAAAGACATAGACGTAACATGTCAATTTCCTAATGAGAATAGATCGAAGAGACAAAGTTTACCTGGTGGAATATCGGAAGCAGATCCAAATGATCCTCGATATAAGACGTTGGCTGAAGAATCTTTGCAAAAATATCTTCTTACTTCTGGAACTACTCAGCACCATAAACTGGTAAAAGTAGACAAAGTGTCTACGCAGGTCGTGTCTGGTTCTCTGACTAGAATTGACTTTACCATATCCCCGACCAATTGCCAGTTGGATAACACTGGTAAACCAAGTTCTACTAATTGCGTTGTATTGAACTCTGCAGAGAGTATAAAATGTCATTCAGAAATCTGGGAACAATCTTGGTTGAAGAAAAAAGACATAGACGTAACTTGTCAATTTCCTAATGAGAATAGATCGAAGAGACAAAGTTTACCTGGTGGAATATCGGAAGCAGATCCAAATGATCCTCGATATAAGACGTTGGCTGAAGAATCTTTGCAAAAATATCTTCTTACTTCTGGAACTACTCAGCACCATAAACTGGTAAAAGTAGACAAAGTGTCTACGCAGGTCGTGTCTGGTTCTCTGACTAGAATTGACTTTACCATATCCCCGACCAATTGCCAGTTGGATAACACTGGTAAACCAAGTTCTACTAATTGCGTTGTATTGAACTCTGCAGAGGGTATAAAATGTAAGTCAAAAATCTGGGAACAATCTTGGTTGAAGAAAAAAGACATAGACGTAACTTGTCAATTTCCTAATGAGAATAGATCGAAGAGACAAAGTTTACCTGGTGGAATATCGGAAGCAGATCCAAATGATCCTCGATATAAGACGTTGGCTGAAGAATCTTTGCAAAAATATCTTCTTACTTCTGGAACTACTCAGCACCATAAACTGGTAAAAGTAGACAAAGTGTCTACGCAGGTCGTGTCTGGTTCTCTGACTAGAATTGACTTTACCATATCCCCGTCCAATTGCCAGTTGGATAACACTGGTAAACCAAGTTCTACTAATTGCGTTGTATTGAACTCTGCAGAGGGTATAAAATGTAAGTCAAAAATCTGGGAACAATCTTGGTTGAAGAAAAAAGACATAGACGTAACTTGTCAATTTCCTAATGAGAATAGATCGAAGAGACAAAGTTTACCTGGTGGAATATCGGAAGCAGATCCAAATGATCCTCGATATAAGACGTTGGCTGAAGAATCTTTGCAAAAATATCTTCTTACTTCTGGAACTACTCAGCACCATAAACTGGTAAAAGTAGACAAAGTGTCTACGCAGGTTGTGTCTGGTTCTCTGACTAGAATTGACTTTACCATATCCCCGACCAATTGCCAGTTGGATAACACTGGTAAACCAAGTTCTACTAATTGCGTTGTATTGAACTCTGCAGAGGGTATAAAATGTAAGTCAAAAATCTGGGAACAATCTTGGTTGAAGAAAAAAGACATAGACGTAACATGTCAATTTCCTAATGAGAATAGATCGAAGAGACAAAGTTTACCTGGTGGAATATCGGAAGCAGATCCAAATGATCCTCGATATAAGACGTTGGCTGAAGAATCTTTGCAAAAATATCTTCTTACTTCTGGAACTACTCAGCACCATAAACTGGTAAAAGTGGACAGAGTGTCTACGCAGGTCGTGTCTGGTTCTCTGACTAGAATTGACTTTACCATATCCCCGACCAATTGCCAGTTGGATAACACTGGTAAACCAAGTTCTACTAATTGCGTTGTATTGAACTCTGCAGAGGGTATAAAATGTAAGTCAAAAATCTGGGAACAATCTTGGTTGAAGAAAAAAGACATAGACGTAACTTGTCAATTTCCTAATGAGAATAGATCGAAGAGACAAACCGCTCCTGGACAAATAGTTGGACACAAAGGTAAACTAAACAATGTTAAAATTAAAGGTGGCATTAGAGAACAAGATCCGACTAAACAAAAATACAAGGATTTGGCAGAAGACTCATTACACTATTATACACGTTTACAAAACATTCAAATTGAATATAGGGTGGTAGAAGTAACTAAAGTTAGCACACAAATTGTGGCGGGTATTAAGTATAAAATAGATTACACTGCTTCTCCAGCTACAGATGATAAAGTGCTACTGTACTGTCATACTGAAATATGGGATCGTCCATGGGTACAGACTAAAAAAAATGATGTTTCTTGTGATACAGATAATGGAATTGAAAGCAACGAAAATGAAAATTTAAAGAGTATATCAAAACGTAGTTTTAGACTAGGCGTACAAGAAAAACAGAGTTTTAATAGAAATGATTATAGAGAACTAGCTGAGATATCTTTAAAGAAATACATGAAGCTCTCCAATAAGAAATATCTTCATAAAGTTATTAAAATAAATGACGTTACTGAGCAAGTTGTTGCAGGAGTGATATTTAATATTGAATACTCAATATCACCAACTACATGTTTATTTGAAGACCACGTAGATAGTGTTAGCTGCCCAGTACAAGAACCAGAAATTATATTACCCTGTTCTACACAAATATGGCAAACACTTGAATTACCTACTAGTACCGATGTTATTACAGTGCATTGTAATGAAAATAAGGATAAACGTAGAAAACGTAATATTGCATTGGGAGAGAAGAGACAACTTTTAATCAATGACGAAGATTTTGATGAAGATTCTAAATATTATTATGCAGACAGAGCTGTGCAGCATATAAATGAGCAATCGGATACAGACAATTTGTACAAATTAATATCTATACATGCTGTACAACATAGTACACATATGAAAACAACAATGGTACGAATGTATATTGAAACAGCCTTAACATATTGTTTAAGACACCAACACGACGAAGATTTATACAAATGTGATGAGATGGAAGGATTAAAACATAGGTTGTGTCATGTTCGATTATGGCCAACACCTGACGATGAGCTTGTCGTTCAGCAAGTTGTCACAACATGTGACGATGATATTAATTTTGAAAGTGTTAGTGGTTTATCTATACAAGATTTATTAAAGGCCTCTATTAAATACCTGGAAAAATCCCCCGATATTAAGTACAAAATTGTACATCAGGGTGAACCTAATTTAATTCCTAGTTTAGATACTTCCCAACCTATAAAAATGAACTTTATAATTGCATATACAAATTGTACAAAAGATATTGATCTTAAAACACATTCTAGTATGTGTTTCTTAGATTCTATGATTTTACCAAAAGCATGCAATTCCTTTATTTGGATGATTCCAAATAGTAAAACCATAAGAAAAATTAATGTGAAATGTGGCACACCAAACATCTCTAGAAACAAAAGGTCAGTATCTCTTGACCCTAAAAATGCGACTGCAGATGAGTTACAAATTCAAAAAATGGTAACCGAAGCATTGGAGAAGTTGGAAATGTCGTCTGTGCACAGGTATAAACAAAGAGTATTAAAAATTAATAGTTACTCTTCGAAAATAACATCGGGTAGGGTGACAACCATAGATTTTGATGTAGGGTATACATCGTGTTTAAAATATGAATGGGTAGAAAATGTAGCGACTTGCGCATTATTAGAACATTTACCTAGACGACACTGTGTTGCCAACATTTGGGAGCGATTATGGATAGAGAATAGAAAGAATATAGATGTCAATTGCGAAGATGATGAGACGCCGCTCGAAACGCACGTAGAATTTGAAAGCGCCGAAACCGCAATGCAGTTAGCAAATCGTGCATTAAGGCATATAGAAGCTAAATACCCAAATCCTCGGGAACAGAAAGTAGTTAGAATTTTCTCGCTAGAGAAGCAGATTATTGCTGGCATTCACTACAGAATGAAAATTGAAGTTGGTCTTACTAACTGTACAGCATTTACTTTTGAGAAGAGCTGTTCTCTAGACCCTAATGCAGGCATAAATAAGTTTTGTAGAGTAAACGTATGGCTTCGCCCATGGACCAATCATCCACCCAACTTCCGCGTTTCCTGTGATTATCAGGACGCAGTAAGCACAGATCTATACCGCCACATACAAGCTGAGCATTTATTTTATGCCTTTTTAGGTAAATATAAGCCAAAATACGTTAATGATCCCGATGAAATGATGAAGAGATTCAAGATTTTCAGAGAAAATGTTGCGAAAATTCATGAACTGAATACGCATGAACTGGGCACAGCAAGGTATGCAGTGACGAGGTTCGCCGATTTGTCTTATGAAGAATTTTCAAGCAAATATATGGGGTTAAAACATAGTCTAAGAGACGAGAATCAGATTCCAATGAGCGAGGCACACATTCCTGATACATCCATTCCTGATAAGTTTGATTGGAGAGATTTTGATGCTGTCACAGAAGTTAAGGATCAGGGCTCGTGCGGCAGCTGCTGGGCATTCAGTGTTACAGGTAAGATAATATATTTTATAATGAAATGGCAAACAAACTGACGCCCTACTTGATGGTAAGTGGTAACCGTCGCCTATATCGATAAACAGTACTAAGGGAATCATGTGACCTCTCGATACACGTCATGTGTTGCCAGTCCAGACGATTAAAAAGCCATGCCTATTAGCCAGTGATTTTATTGCCTAATACGATCCTACAATCGAAACACAACAAATTTAAAATCTCACCGATGTACATATAATACACAGATAATACACGGATAATACACGGATAGTCTGTTAAATCTCATTGAATTAGTATTTATTTTTGTAAAGTGTAGTGGTTATTTTTTGCAGGAAATGTGGAGGGACAGTGGAAGTTGCGATCAGGTAAACTGGTCTCACTGTCAGAACAAGAGTTAGTGGATTGTGACAAACTTGATGAAGGCTGCAATGGGGGATTGCCAGATAATGCCTACAGGTTAGTATGAAATGTGTGTAGATTATCTATTTATTTTTGGTATACTCATATCAAGTACATTGTTCTAAATACTAAATAATATTACAAAGGTGCGACGGTATAGCGGTTTAGCACACCGCTTTAATTCCGATAGTCGTGTATCCGTTTCTTGCACGGTACAATAATTTGTATTCATAAGTGTGATTTTTGTATAGGTTTGGGTGTTTTATGTATCTATTTACAAAAAAATCTAAATATTTATATCAATTATCTAGTACCCATAACACAAAAGTTCTGCTTACCTTGGGACTAGATGGCGCTGTGTTAATTCTTCAGGGTTATTTATTTATTATTATTTACTAGCTACTCGACCCGGCTTCGCACGGGTGTACATGCATTATATATATAAACCTTCCTCTTGAATCTATCTATTAAAAAACGGCTTCAAAATTCGTTGCGTAGTTTTAAAGATTTAAGCATACATAGGGACAGACAGCGAGAGCGTCTATATTTTATACTATGTAGTGATATATGTGTTTAAACGTTTCAGAGCAATAGAACAGCTTGGCGGCCTCGAGTTAGAAACCGACTATCCTTACGAAGGTGCTGATGATAAATGCGTGTTCAACAAGACCCTGGCAAGGGTGCAGATCAACGGCGCCGTGAATATATCTTCGAACGAAACGGATATGGCCAAGTGGCTTGTACAGAACGGCCCTATATCTATTGGTAAGACCTTATCTATATACTTCCATTTAAACGTCTGCACAATCTTTCATCCCCTTGTAGCGTATTGGTTATCACCTCACCACTGTACCGTTGTGTACCATGTGATGAGGTGTCGCTAAATAATGTATAGTGAGTATACCGGTGAAATAATTGTTCTGTTTATTGGTCACTAGCAAGTATATTGGTTAGAGTGCTACATAGCTTAATAGAAACGCGTACATTCGACACGGAGTTGTAACGTGGACTGACTTTACACTTAACTTAAATCTATGTTATTTGAAGAGGCACTAATGGAAGGGCCTCGAATGTTGACAGAAATATTACAAGTGAAGACACGCCCTAATTTAACTTCTCCCAGATTATTCTTTAAGATAAAATATGACTCTGTTACGGATATGAACATAAGTTATAATTAAATTCAAAGAATGATCTAGAATCTAATATAACCTATATTTATCCCCGTAATTCAGTATAACTTCTTGGCAAATTCAGATCCATTCAACTCATAAAAAGTAAACATATAGGACACTCATTTACATTAAAATATTAGTATAGATAAAGGCTAATCCGTAGGTACGTATTGTATCATTCTTAGAACGCATGTATACTGTTTTCACGTTGCGGTGACCATCAATAAATGTCAGGCATGAATAATTCCACTGCATTATTAGTATTCATTCGTGGAAATCCCAATCGATTTACATTATGTTTCAACATCGTAAATTATTGCTATACATTGTAATGTATTGCTATAGTATACATGTATGTATTATGTATCTTTATTCAAATAAAATCTTATATAAATGACTATCTGTCCCACGCTAATTCCTGTACTCGCAATTAAATTAATTTTATTGTATACTAGCGACCACTCCTGGCTTCGCACGTGTGCATTACAAATCTTTGAATTTCTCAGCTTCTATACTATAACACGCACGTATTATACAGATAAACCTTCGTCTTAAATTATCTATCTATTGTAAACTCCATTAAAATTCATTGCGTTATTTAAAACATATAAGCGATCAGATAATAATAATAAATTTATTAAGCCATAATATACAGTGCTTAAATAATTTTCATAATCAATTTGTGTATATGAGTCTGGGAACTGAACTAGTTTCGAAGTCTATATCTCAGTAGACTAGAGCTCACTTCTCGGATGTGCGGTTTTACATAGGTTAATACAATAGATAGTCACGGTGACTTAATTTTAATCTATGTAAAGATTCTTTATTGCACAGTTAATACGTTATTAATATAATTTAGAGATAATGTACTGAGCACAAGTACATTATTCCTAGAAGAGATCTCTTCCAGTCAATCCAAAACAAAGGCATAGTAATTTTCTAAATTAATGAAAATTACTAAAATTTTTCATCGATGCTCCTCATTTTCATACAAACTTTCATCGCATATTTTATTTTACTCTCTTAAGCGTTTTCGCAAACTGAATGTCATATTTATTTATATGTAATTTACAGCCTAAAAATAAGATTTAAGTTTCAAGCTTTAGCAAAAATAACGATACTTCCATACAACATTTCATCTCTTCTTTCAACCCCTTACAGCCGTTTTTCGGATTAAAAAGTAGTAGTAGTACTATGTCCTTTTTTTGGGTCTAGACTATCTGAGTACCAAAGTTCATCTACGTGAAAGCGAGACAGACATACAGAGTTACTTTCGCATTTAGAATATTAGTAAGAATAACTTTCCTACATAAATGCCACCCAAGACGAAAGGAATTTTTAATTTGAAACAGTAGTTCCTTATTCATGAATATGATTGTGTGTATTATGTACGTATTTACAAAAAAAAAAGAGTTCAAGCTGATCAAATTCTGCTTAGCTTTGAACTAGATGGCGCTGTATGTTGTGTGTGGACAGGAACATTATTCTATTATCCGTTGATTAGTACTCATAACAAAAATACTCCTGTAATTCTCCTGGGTTATTATTATTAATTAATTATGTATTTATTATTACAGGTATAAATGCCAACGCGATGCAATTCTACGTAGGCGGTATCTCCCATCCTTGGAAGATGCTGTGTAATCCCAAGAATTTGGACCATGGGGTGCTTATCGTTGGGTACGGTGTTAAAGGTAATTATTTTTTACTACTTACTAAAATATATATTGATTCTTACGCGGGTTTGGAATGCCATCTGCACTCGCACCCTGTCATTCGGTGTTGCTATAAAGGCCAGTTGCCAGACAGACCAGAACATGCAGTTTTTTTATTAATGGAAGATTTAGTAATGGAGTGTTTAAAGAACGTCATGCAGTAATCTGCTTCTAGAAACAATTGAGTACGAAGAATGAATGGATTTATATATTGGTTTGTTTAATTCCGCTACCATTAGCATGTGTTAGAGCACAAATATTCAGTGCTAAAACCTGACTATCGTTACTAGAAGCGTTACGACCTTCTCTATTGGTGATCAAATTCTGCATGGGATTAGATTTCATTAATTTCATTATTCCCTGTTGTAATTATACATGTGTTTATCTTGTTATAATTAGTAAAGTTATTTGTCTTTTTTTACTGTTTAATGCAAACAAAGTAATCAAATTGAAATTCAAAATACCTTTATTAAGGTATGTCTATTATATACTCTTATGATATGTCAAATTTACCATCAATTCGGAATGATTCGGAGATGAGAGGAACTGACAAGAAACTTCCATGTATTCATTTCAAATAAATGTTGTTCTTGTTTACAAAGTATATTAATATTTCTGTATATTCTATCTATTTATTCGTGTGAAATTTTGTTACTGAAGTTTAAAATTCTTCTAATTCCAGACTATCCGCTGTTCCACAAGACAATACCTTACTGGGTGGTGAAGAACTCGTGGGGCAAGTCCTGGGGTGAGCAAGGGTACTACCGGGTCTACCGAGGTGACGGTACCTGCGGACTGAACCAGATGGCGAGCAGTGCCATCATATAATAACATGTAATATATATATATAAAAAAATTACCTTTACTGACTATCAACACAGCCATAACTAAAGTTGAAATTTTAAGTATATTTTGTGACGTGATCATCCACTGAAAAAGAATTTTTGAATGTTTGCACTTAGGAATTTCACGCGTGCCGTGGTCGACAGTTAGTAAAGTAATATATGACAAGCATTGGTTATTTAGCAATAGAACATTCAATTTCTTGAAGTGATATTCATACCAAATATACATAAATACAGTAAAAGTCGGGTATAACGACGGATCAGTTATTACGACTAAATTGCGGGGTTCAGACCGAATCAATAATTTTATGTAGGTACTGCTTATAACGATAATCTGGATATACTGTCCATCCTATATCAGGTCTATGTCGTTATATCCAGTTTCTACTATAATGTAAAGACGTTAATTGTATATTTTCTACTATTTGAAACTAAATACTTGGATTAAATATTTACAAATAATAATAATACTCCACAGAACCCACTTCCGGTTTGATGTACCTAATGTTGACTAAGAATAGTTTAATTTTAATTTGGGTGGTTGTGTAGAATATATCGTTTATATAGACTTATATGTATATTGATATTTTTATATAAAACATATATATATGTTTTTGGAAACTTCTATGGGGTACAATGGCCGTTACATTGTATTCTGTGATATCTGTAGCACTATACACATGTATCTTCCATCAGTAATATTTATAAATGCTTTTTTTGTCTCTAAAATCCGCCTCAAATTTACTTATGTTTATGTTGATACCTAAGTTATTATTTACTTATCATTTAGACTATTTTTCATTCCATATTACTAGTTATTTACATTTTTATAATTGTTATAATATGTATAGTATATATATCATTGTATATCGATTGAAACTGTTAGTTTATAATAATATTAGTAATAACAATTTATTGTGGCACAGAGAAAAATACAATAGGAAAATCAGTATGTAAGGAAGTAAAAACAAAAGGCGGTCACTTATAATATATCTTGTAAGATTGTAAAATGTCGATAAATTTTAAACTGTACGATACTGCTTTCTTAATTACGTATTAATTTTCAATTAGTTATAATCTGGCAACTTCAGATTCTAAAATTGTGAATTTTACTTACGAATAATCGTATAATTGTGAAATATCTCTCATTAATCGTTCTTGGCATTAGTTAGTTCTGTAACATAGCCAGTTTACAATTTGATGGTTTAACATAGAAAATCAAGGAATATAAACATTTGCACACTCTTCTTCTGATTTACAAAATCAATATGTTACATCGATATGTATGGTGATGATGATGATGATGACTGTAAGAAGTTACTATTCAGTTCACAATTTGTCAATAGTTTACAATCTAAAGAGACAGATTATAAACTAACGGTGTTCACAATCATACGGAGACATGTAATTAAATCTACAAACTCATGTGTTTTGTCAGTAAATTAAAAGATTAGTAAAGAATAACTATAAAGCCAACTATTCAGTAGATGAAACTCTTAAGTTAAAAGTCTTTTAATTATATACTCTTAAATGGAATTTAAATGAAACTCACAAGGAATCATAATTGAAGTTACAGTTACACGAATAAATAATATAGATATAATATATAATAATATAGTGTATATGATATTGATTTACAGCGTAAAAGTTAGATTAAGTATGTAGGAATAGAATCTCTATTGGCAGAAGACAGATTATTATTATGTTACCTTCAATTACAGTTGAAACTGGATAATTAACAACCTATAACCCATAATGTACGCTTTTCTTTATAAGATGTATTTTATTTATAACAACTATCGGGTAGAGCGTTTTTAGTTAGGTCGCTGATATACAGTTGATTAGTCATCAGGTTGCCCAAATGCAACTAATGTTCCGAGGACGCTGCAATCAAATGCGGTGCGTGTAATCTTTTGGGACAAGTAGCAATTGAGCAATCTAAGTAGTTAGATTGTTCAATTGCTGCTAATGTCCAGTTGCTGTCGGTCAGTACCGACTGTATATCAGCGGCCTTAAACTTTCATACAATGTCGTTATATCCGGTTTCACCTGTAAATTTAATATAATTGTTATGACTTCTACTTTCCTCGTGTAATAATTTACTTATAGCTTCGTTATTTGTTTTGATATTAACAAATGATGTGATTTGGTTTTTAATTAATAATGTAATGTTTCAAAGTGCAAACAAACTGACACTGTAGTGGTACTGTGTAGTAGGTTTATTTTATACTTAAGGATAGCCACAGGATCAGGTAGTATATATTTGCTCTTGTAGAGTTGAGTTTATACAGAGTTACCATCAGTTAATATATACATTACAGTTGCGTACTGCATTACGTATATATTATACATTTTTTGCTGGGACTCAAAAAATATAAATATATAAACACAACAGTTACTTTGTTTTATATATTATGATATAGTATCGCCTTAAGCAATCACTATTATAATCATATATAAATATATAACATTTGTTATGAGGAAGGTCATAGAGTACTTTTCGTCCGGGTCAATCTCGGCTAGGCGGGTGAAATCATCGACAGAAGTTTGTATATAACATAATATTAGAAAGTATTGTGCATATAAATTTTCCATAAATTAACTTCCATGTGGAACTCTTGGCTCTTGGAACCATCGTGATTAATTCCTGGTGATTTTGGCACGATAGACTGAACAGCACTCAGACTGATGACCCTCATTGTTGGCCTGCGAGCGTATACCGTTAGGCAAAGGCGAGTGCATTAGTATTTATTGTTGTTGGAAGTTGGAGTGTTAACTAGTGGGTTACTGTCTTTCATCGAGTATAGGTGTCTCACGAAGACCTGGAGCCTCAAACTTCTTGAACATGTAAAAATGTCATACATTAAAGAAACCTTCTATAAAACAAATAATTACTAACTTACAATATACTATTTTATATTTCTATATCTTCAAATTATAATATTATATAGCGATATTTATAATATAATATATGTATATATGTATCTGTACGTATTTTAATATGACAAAAATTTACGTTATTACGTAATAATGCACGCAACTGTATTGACCCCAATTTACATGACATTTCTCTCTGCATATTGTATTTGTATCTATTTGTTTTAATACATATTATATAACTAGTCTTCAAATCTATGAAAAATATCTACTCATTGATTGTTAAAGATTAAAATATTTGGTTAAGGAATTTATAACGGGGACAGACATGATAAAGGAATTAACTCAAGAATCACATATTTTGAATATTAAACCTTACTGCATAATATTAAAGTTGATTTACCAAGCATTATAAGTTTTGAGTTATGCACTTTATTAATAAACATGTTATATCTACGAATGCGTTTTTATAGTACTGTCGAAATATAGACAGTCATTACTCCACTAACAGTTATTGTAGATACATTGTTCTTTTTTAATTCTACAAATTCTGCAAAAACTATATGAATATTTTACACGATACAGGCAGAGCCTGCTGTGGAGTCATAGATAAATATTACTTAACATTTTCCGAAATAAAAAAAATATTACGAAGATTATTATAGTTATGAGTTAATGAGTTAGTTATAAGGACATTCCAAACTGTTTTTTTTTATATTTCATATCTGTTTCAAATTTTGTTCTTTTCCCATGTTGTGATGTCTGCCCTCGTCCTTAATTACACTTATGTTTTAGTCTGTTTTAGTTTATAAGGAAAATGTTTTGATACGTGAAGTTTTTTATTAATTTTAATACTTATATCTTGCAATAAAACATTATTGAATGCTATTATATGTTATTTTATTTCTTGTAGTTTGTTATAAACATAAATAAGTGTATGCCTAAAACTTTTTGATGTATTAGGCAAGTACTTGATCTATAGAAGCGTTTCTTCTATATATAGATATAGATATAGAGGATAGAAGATAAGAGAAAATTAAGAATAAACATGCAAATTGACGCGGTCTTTAAAAAGTGATTGATCGATTTCATGCCAACCTATGTCAGATGATGAGGCTGTCATTCTATTCACATGAAATCACAACGTCCTTGTTAATAAAATTAATTTCAAACTGACATGCTTGATCGAAGGAAAAACGACTTGTATTGAAGAAATAGTTTATTTTGTATATATAATATTATGTGAGATACAAGTCATTAGTACAAGTTTTTTGACAATATTTATTTTCATATAAAAGTGGCGATCGAGCGAGTAGTGATGTGCCAACACAAACTCATCTTTAAATATAATTAGAGCTTAGAAATAATGGCATGGAATGGAACTGGGCTGTTTTCTTGTCAGTTGTTCAAAAATCGAATTAATATGATTACAAAAAAATGTGTATAACCACAGATAACATAATATTACATAGTATAACTTACGTTTATATCAATCTAAATAAAAATCGACAATAACAATTCTATAAGTCATCGGTTCATGAGTATGACAGGTGAGCCAAACAACACTATTCTATCAGGACGGCTTTCATCCCAGCAGGAGACAACAGTCGAGGCTTTGAACGATTTCGCTGGTTGTCTTTGAATCTAACAGGGACGAGGTTATACACATTTCTCGCCATCATTTGAGTTCATATCCGTGATTCCATCACCGTAATGAATTTACAGAATATAGGTACTATTATTGATATTATACAGTACAAATGAAAAGTTACCTATATTTCAACATTTATCAAGACAACAAAAATGTGAATTTTAAATATTTGTAGTCTGACCGGCACCAAATTGAAATAAAATTGTTGCCGGTGAGGCAAAGTATTTTTTTGGTGTTTAAATATAGATTGGTTGCCCAGTCTGCACTAACAGTAAGTACATATATGCTAGCGACGCAAGAGCGGAGGAAGATGGAAGGATCGTGAAGTCAGGTCAGTTAGCCTGTCGTAACCAATTCAACTACGATATTTTTGGGGGAGTATGTGAAGGTCGACCTGATAAAGTACAGTGATAGCAGTAGGGGTGACCAGTGAAAGAGATGTCTATATTACTTGAAAAATCACCTCCTTTTATAGGTTTACTGTTGAACTAGCTGTACCCGCGATTTCGTCCGCGTGGAATTTAACGTTCATTTTCTAAAATAAAAGTAGCCTAAGTTACTTCTTATTATATTAGCTACCTGCCAATAAAAGTCCCGTCAAAATCGGTCCAACCATTTCAGAGATTAGTCGGAACAAACAGACAGACAGACAAAAATTGTAAAAAATGTTATTTTGGTGTTTATACCTTATTTATATTCATATGTATGTAGTAAAAACGGTTATTTCAATATTACAAACAGACATTCGGATTTTATTTATATGTATAGATGAGTATGGAATAGAAATACGGTAATTGTTGGGGACACCAGTAATGGATGA